GAGTCTCACGAGGGGCAATGTCGTCTTTTTACACACCAAGAAAATGCCTAAAACTGAGTGAACGGAAAAAAAATGCCTAAATTGAAAGTTTTGGGGTAACAAATGCCCATTTAGACAATAACCCCATACTTTTATAGATGCAGTTACTTTACGTTGTAAATTATATGATGGACTATTTCAACAACGATTACGGTTTCAAAACTAAAAGAACATGTATCGTGCTTGTGTATGTAGATTAGTAATTCACGTGTCTCTCCTTTTAAAGTTTTTATCCCTAACTCCTAATCTCTAACGAAGCCTATGGGGGTAGATATAACACGGCAGTGATTATACAAGAATGTATAAATGATAGTATACAAGAATGACATGAACTTGCTTCTTTATTTTTTGTAGTTAGAAAAATAGGAAGAGCCACGTGGGTCCTATAGTCTCCTCTCCTTTTCTCTATCGATTTTGAGAAAGAGTCCGTATTTGTATATTAATATTCATCATTTTATCAATGTGGACTAATCCACATAACTATATGATTTAGATCTACATCGTTAGAATCACTAATCATAACCAGTTACGATTAAGAACAATTCTTGGGTTCACCTCTAGGGGTAAACCCATATATTCACCTCCTTTAGTTTTAACCAATCATTATGCCATGTCATATAACATTTAAATAGAAATTAAAAATTAAATAAATTAAATAAAATAAATCATTAACGAAAGATTAATTTAATTAACGGAGTCTTCGTCATTTTTTTAGGTTTTTGATTTCACACGGTGGCCATATTTTCCTTCCGTCTGTCACGAGAGCTTTTGCTTAAGTCAAAGATCAAATTGCTGGGAGACACAAATGTTGATACTAGGCTTCGCTTTGAGATAACTATGGAGACATGAAGAGAAAGAAAAAGCAAAGTTGGATGTTCCTCATCATTATCTCTGTTTTTTTTTTTTGGAGAAAGTGAAATTTCATTGTGTGAATATATAGAGATACATAAAATACAATTTCTATTGTGATCTTGGAAAAGATTACCATGTGATGATGCTGAAACTATAGGGAACTTGGCTTTCGATATATACACATAATACAATTTTTATAAGCTTTGTTGTGTAGCTTTCACCAGTCAATTTGAAAATGTTAGGGAAAATATGGGGTCCCGTAGTCTTCCACTACACTCCAACGAAACCAAACTATAACCATTTCATAGCAATTATGTTGCAATGATGGCATGTGATCTGAAACAGAAAGAAACTAAGATGTTTTCTGGAATACTTTGACAAAAAAATATGTTTTCTGAAATTTGAGAATTAAAAAAAAAGAAGATAAAGTGACAAGAGTTTGCAACGATTTTTTCTCTAGATTACGGAGTCTTAGATTTATTCTTGACAATGATGCTTCATTTGATTTGTAGAGGAAGTTGTGAAGTTGTCTTCTCAGGCTCCATCATATCTTGTTTCTTCATCGAAGAGGAAATTATCTTCTCCGTTAATTAAACTAGATTATATACCCGTGCGTTGCGCGGGATTTTAATTTTTTTTTTTTATTAATACGTATTTTTATTATAAATATAATCATTCGAATTTGAAGAGATTTTATTTTAATCATTTGCATTCTTAGTCCAAAGCTTAGAAAATAATTACGTTGTTCACTACATTTCTCTTGTTATCTTGGATGATTCACTCGTCGTCTCTTGACATCTACTTTTTTCCACTAATGAATCACATGTAATATACTCGACTACAAATTGGTTCCTAAAACAGATCATATCTATTTCCTCTTTACTATATTTCAATATTCAATTTTTTAATAAGTTGCATGGTTTTCTTCATTTAAGTGAAAGTTAAAATATACTGGACAGATATTTGTCATGAAGTTTCTTTAACCATGTTTTGGTGCATGTGAAATTGTTTTATAGAGAACAAATCTCGTATATGAACTCATTTATAACCACGTACGTACATCAGATTTCAACGTCAAATCTTGCACTTTTATCTTGATCGTTCGAAAATATAAAATTCTCTTTTCACATATGATATATCGTGGTTTTTACTGATTTTAACCATAATATTAGGTGTGTTTTTAGAGTCTTTTTGGGTTTTTTTTTTGCGTCTTTTAGAGCATGCACATAGTTGGTACTCATAAAGTATCATAAACAATTTTTTAGTATTAGTTTTAATGTTTGTTTATTGTTTGAGATTTTTTATGATACTGATAATAAATCTGTTTCCAGTGGTGAGACTGTTGTCGGTATTATTAATAAAAACAAAAATATTTGCAAAATCGAAAATAAAAATATATAAAAACATAAGATTACAAAAGATAATATTACAATCCATAAAAACGTAGAATATACTTAAGCAAAACATATCTTGTGGCCGAAGTAGGTAATTGGAGAAACTCATTCAACTTGTAATTATTTTGTCCGTCTTATATATAAATAGTAAAAGATTGAAAAGCCCTACGATCGAAACCGTTCAGAGATATTGTTTGAGATGTTTGTAGATGTTTGTTCAGAGATATTGTTTGTCCGTGTTTGTGGTGTTTCTGATCTTGTTATTGGTGTTCTCGTCATTATTGTTTGAGATAGTTGATTGCAGAGCCCTACGATCGAAGCCGTTCAAAGATATTAACGGTCATGATCAAACAAAGCCATTCAGAGATTTTTTTTTTTAAAAAAAAAAACATTCACGGTTCAATGACATTCTGCCACATCACACGATACTGAGTATCACAAGTATCAGTGGACTGATACTGATTAGGCTAGTATCATGCCCAATTATATGGTTTGGTCCATTAAAAAATTGTTTTTGGACTAATGATACCAAAAAAAAATCACCAATGTACATGGTCTTAGAGTCTTTGCAGGTATTTACAGATTTGGGAGAATTCTGGAGCAAAAGCTGGACATTTGGAGCAATATGGCTAACAAGAGCAACTTGTCACGATCAGAGTATTTTGGTGTCGACCGACACCATCAGTGTCGCTCGACACTGTCGCGTTTTGCTTAAACGACACACGTTTTTAACAAGTTTTGAAGAATTGCATAATGGCCCTCATGTTCCTGTTTATTGCAAAAGAAGTCTCCGACGTGTTTTAGACTATATTATTAGGTTTTTATCTTTGTAAGAGAATTAAGCTTGAATTTTGGGGAGAGATTTTGTATCACCTTGGAGAGAAGAATCAGACTCTTTCAGAGAGATTCAGAACTCCTTTACTCTATCTCTATCTCTTAACTCTTTTAATGCAATTTATTCAGATTATGATTTGTGTTTCTTTTGCTATGTCTGAGTAATTCTCCTGTTAGATTTAGGGTTTTTCCATGTATTGATGAATTGCTAAGTTGAACAATTGGTAGGGTAATTTTAGGGTTCTTCACCTAGATTTGATTTAATCACTAGTTCTAGCATGTACACCTAGAATCTAGCTCATAGGATAATAGGTAGATTCGAGAGGTCATCTATTTCCTGAAATAATCTTAGGTGAGCAAAAGACTATTTTCATTCGAGAGGTGGTTTAGTGCTTTTGTGAACATATCAAATTTGGACTTTAATGCTTGCTTAACTTTAGGAATTTACATTCGAGAGGTGGAATTTCTATTGATAGGCATTGTGAATTAATTCATTCGAGAGGTGGTTAATTTGATATCTGTAATTTGAGTTCAATAACGGTGCTTAATAAACCCTTGCCTGCTGTTTAATTTGTAATTCTGATTTACTGAAAGGAATAACCTTAAGTCTAACTCTTCCATCAATTGATCTAAACCCGACTCACTTGCTTTGTTTTAATTTAATATCTTTATTCTCTATTTAGCTTAATTCGATTGCTGATTTTTCTATTGTGTGAACAACTAGAACTTTGTGGAATTCGACCCTTAAGTGCTACAACTGATCTCTTATTTGAGAGAGTAGTTCTATAGGATTTAATTTGAACCTTATCAACATATATAAGTTGACATATATTATGATTTTAGATAATATTCTTAAACTTGATTTTTCTAAAATGTGTAACTTACAAACGCATAAAAAATTATTCTAATTTTAAAATATTTTTTTTCCAAAAACAAAATCATCTTTATTTCTAATTAAAAACTCTTCGATCTACCATTACTATCACTACTCTAAGTTCCAAATATCATTCTCAAATATTATTCTTACAGTTTTATATATTATTGATTAGATTATTTTATTTTTATTTGTGATGTCTAGAATAGTTTTTTTATTTTATTTTAAATCACATTAGTTTTTTCAATCTATGTTAATTTCCTAAACACTGATTAATATATAGTTTTTCCTTTTTAGCTATTCATTTGTTTAAAAACTACCATTGTTTCAATTTAGAAAATGTTACTTGTTTATATTATTTTATAATTATAAATAATAATAGCACATACACAATTCTTCTTATATTTTAATCGGTATTATGAATTGATACTTTAACATTACCAAATATATTCTTAAATTTTAATTGAATATTATTTCGGAAATGAATTACTTTTTATTTTAAGTAAGAACCTTTAAATTTGGTAATTTTTAACTCTTTTTTTCTATATTATACTAAATAATTGTAACTCTCAAAAATAATTATTGTACCGTTAAGATATATGATAAGCTTCTTTAGTTATATTTTGTTATTGTGGAAGTGATATTATTGTAAGATATAATAGCTAATTTTATACTTATTTAATATCTATTCAAAATTTTCATATTTGTTTAAAATATTTTTTTTTTTCGTTTTCTATTAATATTTAATTTTATTTTTTGTAAATTAATTTTTTTATTTAATGAAAGATAATAATATGAAGTGTGTGAATAAAATTTAGTTTTAATTTTTTAGTTTTAATAAATAATATATGTGGAACCCACAAAAAATTAAAATAGGATGACATGAATGATGATGTGGACACCCTAGATTGAGAGAAAACTCTCTAATTATATAGATTAATTTGTTGTTAATGATTTATTTTTTTATAGCTTTCTCAGTTAGCTTATTTGTGTAACTTGGCTTACACGATACCTGAGATCAAGGGTGAGGATTTGAGAAGAAGCTATGGGTTAAAGTTTGTGACACTTCATTGGAAAAAAAAGCGAAAGCAGCCATACTTAGAGAGAAACTAGAGCAAGATCCAACACGTGTTCCTGTTATTACATCTCCAGAATTAGAATCCGAGAAGCAGCCTCAACGATCAGCTTCATCTTCTGCTTCTGCTTACAAGATTGCTGCTTCAGCTGCGTCTTACATTCACTTTTGCAAAGAGTATGATCTTTCAGAATCGAGCAACCCGGTTTATAAATCAGCTGCTGCTGCTCAGGCTGCAGCGTCTACGATGACAGCCGTGGTTGCTGCGGGTGAGGAGGAGAAGCTAGAAGCGGCAAGGGAGTTACAGTCGCTACAATCATCTCCTTGTGAGTGGTTTGTTTGCGACGATCCAAACACATACACTGTAGGACCGCGAAATCCCGATTTGAAAACAGAGAGAAAGAACTTTTAGAAAACGATTTGAAAAGACGATTTAGAAAACTCGTGAAGGCGAGATATGATATCTCTTTCCGTAATCCAAACTAGCTCCCGCAGATGAGACGGTTTTATGAGCAGCGGACCGCAGGATACAATCACGATGAGACCGTTATCGCTTCACTCGATAGCGGAATCTACGAACTCGATATAAACGATATACTCTTGAGACTTACTTTGAGAAGAAAGAGAGAGAGGGAAAGAGTTGTTTTGTTGCGATTTTGCGTTTTTTGCCAGTGAGAGAGAGAGGCGTTCCTTTTATAGGCGATAGGAGACGCAACTTAATCCGCAAGAGATGGCTCATGGGCGCAAATCTAGGGACGTTGGGAGCGAGAGGAGGACTCGGCCACGACGAGATCATGGGCGAAATATACGGAGCCGTTTTTTCGATTTCGAAATGTAGAATATGCTCTAGAATATTCGAATATGCCATTTGTTTATGCAAACTTGATTTTGTTAATGGGCTTCTTCTTAATGGGCCAAAAACTTATGTAGAAATTGTTGCATAAATGTAACAAAAGCCTCATAAGTATTTTCCCCAAAAAGAATATTCTCTTGTGGGCCGAGGCCCACATTCCCCACGAGTCCGAGCCTAGCCCGGCTCGGCACGGCACGGCGGCGGCGGCGCGCGCGCGTGTGTATCGTGTTGCATAATGTGCATGTATCTCCTTCACCATAGTCTCCCTTTCCCAATAGCTAGGGAACCATGTTGCATGTGTATCACTATATATACTAGAGGGAAAGTTTCCAAACTTCCAATGTGGGACAAAATTACATTTGTGATTTTTAAGCTTTGAAGCTCCCCACTTTGGACCTCAATTACTCATTCAATATAACTTCAATTTTTACATGTAAATACACTATCTCATAGTGCTCATTACAAGGAATCCAAAGAATCCATTATCGGGTCATTCCGATGACCGTCGTCACCGGAAAAGTCGCCGGAAAGTTGGCCGGAGGCACTTGTGTAAAAATTGAGTTCCAACAATCCCCCACATGAATAGAATTGACTCTAAACATTTTGAGAATTTATAAGGAAAACGACCTGTGTCCCCCTAGAAAGTTTCACATAGTATCACAACTACACAGAATTCGGATCTCGACCGCAGTCCACACATATCAGAAGTTAAACTCCAGTTTCCCCCCAAATCAAAAGTTCGAGACCTTGGTCCCCAAAATTTTGAATTTCGTGGTTTATCTTTGGTTTACTGTACCGAAACCACCATTAACCGCGTAACAACGAAAATAAACCGGATTTACCCATAAACCAAATATATCTTTGGTTTATCTTTGGTTTACTCGGAATCGCTCGAGAACGACGGTTTCGTCTATCTAATCGTGACACTGAAGAGAATCCCCCAGTTGGATCGGACTAACCCTTTGATGATCCCTCTTCCTCATCCTCTCATCGATCTGGCCGCCGAAGATTCACCGGAGCTTTGTTTGATTATCGACGACAAACACAAGAACAAAATCACAAAGGAAGCGGCTTTGAAGAAGATCAAAGCAGAGAAGATTCCAATCACCACAGTGATTAAGGTCTCCAAGTTGAAATCCGATTTACGCAAGTTAGAGGAGGAGAAGCGATTCGAGTTGTATTTCGCGGAGAGGAGGCTAATGCCGATTTTGCCGAAGCTATTGGGGAGAGAGTTTGTTAAGAAGAAGAAGAATCCGATTGCGATTAACTTAAGACACGGTGATTGGAAAGAGCAGATCGAAAAAGCTTGTGAATCGGCTTTGTTCTTCGTTGGTACAGGTACTTGCAGTGTTGTTAAAGTAGCGAAGTTGTCAATGGGAAGGAAGGAGATTGCAGAGAATGTTGTAGCGGCCATGAATGGGATTGGTGAATCAGTTCCTGGTAAATGGAAGAATGTTAAATTGTTTCATCTCAAGTTGCTTGAGAGCTTGGCATTGCCTGTTTATCAATCAGTTGCTTGATCAAAATGTTTAAAGAAGGTGATGGATGATCTGGTTCCTCCAATTAGTCACAAGTTTTGGGTTTTATTTTTAGTGAAATTTTCTTTTATGTGATGCTTGTAATGTTTCGATTATACCTAGAGTGAACAAAACTGTTTTGAATGATTACATTGCAACAGATGGTTTTAATACAAATTTCCATGAGTGGGTCTTATGAATTTACTGGTAACTTTGGCTTCTTTTGATATGAATATATATAGCCACATGAATTCTCTAATCATCTTCATCATTGTCACTGTCCGGATACTCGTCGTAAATCCGGATTGGTTTGGGGGTTTTGATTATCGGGTAATAATCGGGTTGGTTTATGGGTAAATCCGGTTTATTTTCGTTGTTACGCGGTTAATGGTGGTTTCGGTACAGTAAACCAAAGATAAACCACGAAATTCAAAATTTTGGGGACCAAGGTCTCGAACTTTTGATTTGGGGGGAAACTGGAGTTTAACTTCTGATATGTGTGGACTGCGGTCGAAATCCGAATTCTGTGTAGTTGTGATACTATGTGAAACTTTCTAGGGGGACACAGGTCGTTTTCAACGTACTTAGACTTGACAGACCGGACTTTCAAGAGTATATGCGAAAAATTAGCTGTGTATGAGATAGTAGCATTTTCAGCCTTGAACTACTCATTGTTAATATCTGTCGAGTTTACTTCTCCGGGAGGTGAACATGATGTCTTGAACCACCCAGATTTTTATGTAAACTAAGACAACAGGTAGAACCCAACTACTTTTTCTCGTAGAACCAAGTTCTCTAGTTTGTGTTCGTTTTGGCCTTGAACAATCCTGGATTTCATGAGTGAACTTAGAAAATATGGCCTCACATATTTTCCTAGAAACGGCCCCATTTCACACTCACTAGGTGATTTGTCACTAGCGTTTGTTTTAAGAAGTCTCCTGTAAAACTCCACTTATATATCAAAGCTTTTGGACTCAATCATTAAAAGCATTGCTTATCCTTTACTTGTACAGGAAGCACTGTTTATCATCTTCGGAACTGGGCTGCGACTATTAGTCTTACAGTGCTCGAGATAGATTTCGTTTAATTTAGTTTTCCCTTTGAACCTAGTTCTTGAGATCTCCAGTCATCTAGGTGGGGTATCCATCAAACGTCACCTTTAATTCATAGGCTTTAAACCCATTCCTCTTGATGATTTTATCACTTGATTTCGTGCCAAACCCTTGGTTAATGGATCCGCTAGGTTGTCGGCCGATTTGATGTAACCTAACGTAATTACACCGCTAGTAATCAAGCTTCTAATGGTATTGTGTCGTCTTCGTATGTGACGATTCTTCCCATTGTAGTGGGTGTTTAGTGCTCGGGCAATAGCCGCTTGACTATCACAGTGTAACCGTAATGCCGGCACGGGTTTCCCCCACATTGGAATGTCTTCTAAAAAATTTCGAAGCCAATCGGCTTCTTTTGCAGCTTTGTCTAAAGCTATGAACTCATACTCCATTGTTGAGCGAGCCGTTACAGTTTTTTTTTTAGATTTCCAAGATACTGCTGCACCTCCTAGAGTAAAGACATATCCACTTGTGGATTTCGAATTTTTGGAGTCAGCTATCCAATTGGCATCGCTGTATCCTTCCAAAATTGATGGTTCTTTACCATAGTGCAACCCATAACTTTTGGTGTGTCTCAAGTAATTTAGCACTCTTGTTGTGCCTTTCCAGTGTTTATGACCTGGATTGCTGGTATAGCGACTTAGTACGTTTACTGCGTGCGCTAAGTCGGGCCTCGTACAATTTGTTAAGTACATAAGACTTCCGATAACCCGTGCATACTCCACCTGTGATACCGCCTCGCCCGAGGTTTTCCTCAAGTGAAGCTGACAATCTACAAGGGTTTTTGCGGTCCCATTTGAGTAAGTTTTAAACCTCTCAAGTATTTTTTAAGCATAATGGGTTTGAGACAGTGTAATTCCTTCAGGTGTTCTAGTGATTTTAATCCCTAGAATAACATCTGCCAAACCCATATCTTTCATGTCAAACTGACCATGAAGCATATTTTTGGTTTGTTGGATTACATCCTTATTGCTACCGAGGATGAGCATGTCATCAACGTATAGGCATAACAAAACATACCCGTTACGAGTACTTTTTATGTAAATGCATTTGTCGCATTCATTTATGCTGAAACCATTTGACATCATTACATGGTCAAATTTTTCATGCCACTGTTTTGGAGCTTGTTTAAGTCCATATAGTGATTTCACAAGTCTACAGACTTTTTGTTCTTGTCCTGGAACAACAAACCCTTCGGGTTATTTCATATAAATTTCCTCTTCTAAATCACCGTTTAGAAAGGCGGTTTTGACATCCATTTGATGGATTTCCAGGTCTCGCAATGCTGCAATTCCGATTAGCATTCTGATTGACGTTATTCTCGTTACCGGAGAATAGGTGTCGAAAAAATTCAGACCTTCTTTTTGCCTGAATCCTTGCACCACAAGTCTCGCCTTGTACTTATCAACAGAGCCGTCGGTTTTTAATTTTGTTTTGAAGATCCATCTACACCCTAGTGTTTTAAACCCTTCAAGTAGATCGGTTATTTCCCATGTATGATTTTGCATAATGGAATCGATCTCACTATTAACGGCTTCCTTCCATAAAGGTGCGTCTGGTATAGACATTGCTTCAGCATATGTTTTTGGTTCGTTCTCTGCGAGAAGAACCATCAAGAAATCTTCACCGAATGATTTTTCCTTGCGAGCTCTTTTGCTGCGTCTAGGTTCATCTTCTGCTTGATTTGAGGTGCCAGACGTGCTGGCCTCGTTAACAGCGGTGCTTACGTCTCTCTCGTCCCAAGTACGTTTCAGATTTTGTTTATCCTTACACGGGAAAATATGTTAAAGAAAGATGCATTTCTTGATTCCATTATTGTATTAACATGAATATCCGGAATATCTGATTTATGAACCAGAAACCGGTAAGCACTACTGTTGCGTGCATATCCGATGAAAATACAATCAACGGTTTTTGGTCCGACAGTGACCTTCTTAGGAGGTGGCACTGCGACTTTTGCAAGGCACCCCCACACTTTAAGGTATTTGTACGATGGTATAGTACCTTTCCAGAGTTCATGGGGCGTATTGCCTGTTATTTTGTGCGGGATTTTATTCAGGATGTGGTTTGTGGTAAGCAAAGCTTCCCCCCACAGGTTCTGGGCTAACCCAGATTCCTGCAACATTGCATTCATCATTTCTTTCAGAGTTCGGTTTTTTCGTTCCGTAACTCCGTTAGATTCCGGTGAGTACGGAGCGGTAGTTTGATGGATAATGCCATGTTCTTGACAGAATGCATTAAATGGCCCATCATACTCGCCTCCTCTATCACTTCTAACTATTTTAATAGTTTTCGAGAGTTGATTTTCAACTTCGGTTTTATATTCTTTGAATTTCTCCAAGACTTCATCTTTACTACGTAGAAAGTAAACGTAGCATTATTTTGTACAATCATCTATGAAAGTGACAAAATACTTTTTACCGCCTCTAGTTTGTACGTACTTTAAGTCGCACAAGTCTGTGTGTATTAATCCTAGAGGTTCTGTTGTTCGTTCGACACGAGGAGATGGTGTTTTTGTGAGTTTAGCTTGTACGCATATTTCACATTTTTCTTTGCTTATTTTGCATTTTGGGATAGAGTTCAAATTAATTAATCTTTTCATAGATTTATAATTCACATGTCCTAACCGCTCATGCCATAAATCAAAAGACTCAACCAAATAAGCAACTAAATTTTTATTGATGGAATTGTTGGAAACAGAAGTAGAAGCTACATCATCTTTCTTGAGGACTGTCTGAACACACATTTTGATCAGTCCTCCCTTAACAAAACCTTTGCCAATAAAGACACCATTCTTCCTCAGGATCAGCTGGTCGGACTCGAGGTTGATGGCAAAACCATGCTTGTTCATCAGAGTCCTAGAGATTAGATTCTTCCTCATGTCTGGAACATGCTTCACATTGGTGAGAGTGACAAACATCCCTGAAGTCAGCTTCAGGACCACCTTGCCGGTACCCTCAATCTTGGAGTGAGACACGTTGCCCATCATCAGATTCTCACAAGACTTGCATTTCTGATAGGTGCTGAACATGTCTCTGTTGATGCAGATGTGGGTGGTCGCTCCAGTGTCGTACCACCACTCCATTGGGCTTTCGTTGGTCATCACCACATTTGCTTCAGTGACCACCGCACAGAGGTCACCTTCAGTCAAATTTGCTTGATTGGTTTGACTCTTCGCCGCCCTAGCTTTGCTGTGACACTCGGCAGCTTTGTGACCTTTCTTGTGACAGAAGGTACACTTCATAGCAGATTTCTTGAATTCACCTTGCTCACCTTGCTTTTTAAAGCTAGTGGAGGGTTGAGGTGCTATCTTGTTGCCACCCTTGTTGGGCGTAGCAGGGCCTTTGTTGTTGTGAACAACCTTACCCTTACCCTTTCTCTTGTATTCAGCCATATTCGCATCATGAGTAACAAACCCAGATTTTTCTTTCTTGGTTGCTTCATTTTGCAGCCTGGCGATCAAGTTCTGTAAGCTCAATGGTTTTTGCTTGAATTCCAGATAGTTTTTGAAGCCTTCCCAACTTGGGGGTAACTTCTCGACAATGGAATTCACTGTGAAGACCTCACAGATCTTCATTCCCTCATCAGCTATCCCGTGGAATATCAATTGAAGCTCATTCACTTGGTCCATGATGGGCTTAGAGTCCACCATCTTGTAGTTGAGGAAGTTTGCAGTGGCGCATTTTCCAGAACCTACATTGAAGACTTTGAACTGCTTTTCCAATTTTTCCCAAAGGATCTTAGAAGTGCTGACTTCACTATACACATTGTATAGCTTGTCCACCAGGTAGTGTAGAATTTGGCCTTTGCACAAGTAGTCCCCATGGTTCCATGCTTGGACGCTAGCGAGGACCGTTGGATCAATATTACCCGGAGGTAACGTTGGTTCGATCTCAACGAGATACATAGTCAGATTCAAGTTGTGCAGATAGAAATGCATCTTTTTCTGCCACGACTTGAAGTTGGTTCCATCAAACTCTCCTGGTTGAAGAGTGGAGCTCACTGACTTAGGTACTTACACAATAGCAGTTGGAACTGATCCAGATGACTGACCGGTAGCCTGTTCATTTGGTTGGATCGTTCCTTCACCTCCACCGTTGAAGGTAGCTTTTTCTTGTTCGTTAGACATCTACTCACGAAAGAAAATAATGTCAGTATTGACAATAGATTTTAAGAATAGCGATAAAGACAATTTAATGTAATTCGCTAAAATCAAAATATTCTGTGGATCCCGTTATAAAACGTTCCCAGAATTAATTTTTTAAAAACGTCTACAGGAATCGTTTTTGTAAACGTGTGTAGAATCGCTTTTAGATCGCTCGGATCGTATACAAAAACGTTTCGCGAAACTCACCCGAAGGCCTTCGCGGAAATCGTTTCCAGATTGGTAATGTATATCGTTTGAAATAAACGTTCCACGAAGTGGCTAAAAAGCTTTCGCATAAGCGTTTGTATCGATACGAAAAACGTTTTGAAAACCGAATAGAAATCGTTTTTTTTTTTTTTTTAAAAGCTGTACGCGTATGGATCCGTAATGCGATAGCAGTACGGATTAGTTTGGATTACGACTGTAGGACCGCGAAATCCCGATTTAAAAACAGAGAGAAAGAACTTTTAGAAAACGATTTGGAAAGACGATTTAGAAAACTCGTGAAGGCGAGATATGATATCTCTTTCCATAATCCAAACTAGCTCCCGCAGATGAGACGGTTTTATGAGCAGCGGACCGCATGATACAATCACGATGAGACCGTTATCGCTTCACTCGATAGCGGAATCTACGAACTCGATATAAACGATATACTCTTGAGACTTACTTTGAGAAGAAAGAGAGAGAGGGAGAGAGTTGTTTTGTTGCGATTTTGTGTTATTTGCCAGTGAAGAAAATGAGAGAGAGAGGCGTTCCTTTTATAGGCGATAGGAGACGCAACTTAATCCACAAGAGATGGCTCGTGGGCGCAAATCTAGGGGCGTTGGGAGCGAGAGGAGGACGCGGCCACGACGAGATCATGGGCGAAATATCCAGAGCCGTTTTTTTCGATTACGAAATGTAGAATATGCTCTAGAATATTCGAATATGCCATTTGTTTATGCAAACTTGATTTTGTTAATGGGCTTATTCTTAATGGGCCAAAAACTTATGTAGAAATTGTTGCATAAATGTAACAAAAGCCTCATAAGTATTTTCCCCAAAAAGAATATTCGCGTGTATCGTGTTGCATAATGTGCATGTATCTCCTACACCATAGTCTCCCTTTCCCAATAGCTAGTGAACCATGTTGCATGGGTATCACTATATATACTAGAGGGAAAGTTTCCAAACTTCCAACGTGGGACAAAATTACATTTGTGATTTTTAAGCTTTGAAGCTCCCCACTTTGGACCTCAATTACTCATTCAATATAACTTCAATTTTTACATGTAAATACACTATCTCATAGTGCTCATTACAAGGAATCCAAAGAATCCATTATCCGGTCATTCCGATGACCGTCGTCACCGGAAAAGTCGCCGGAAAGTTGGCCGGAGCCACTTGTGTAAAAATTGAGTTCCAACATACACTAGGTGCTTTGTGATTCAGGTAAAATGTTTTCAAAATTATAACTACAAGCACATCTTCTGTTTTCTCCAGGTTACGAGCTTTCAGTGTGTTAATTGGTGTCCTGATTTTGCAGGGATCTGATTCTTTAGCCTCTTGGAAAGCAAACCTCTTCTTTGAGCCAGCTAAGTTTGAGGTAAAGATCTTGATCTCTTTTAAGATTGGACATTTGGTTTTTGGTTTATCCAATCGCTTAGGTTACGTGAAATATTGTTTTGGTTTGTGTTTATCCTAGAGACCTTACCTTAAGATATTTGATATGATTGTCGCAGGACACAGATGTATTAGTCCACAGAGGAATCTACGAGGCAGCAAAAGGAATATACGAACAGTTCTTACCAGAAATAACAGAGCATTTGTCTAGACACGGAGATAGAGCTAAGTTTCAGTTTACGGGTCATTCTCTTGGAGGCAGTCTTTCATTAATAGTGAATTGGATGCTTATCTCTAGAGGACTCGTTAGCTCTGAAGCTATGAAATCCGTTGTCACGTTCGGTTCACCGTTTGTGTTTTGTGGCGGTGAGAAGATTCTAGCTGAGCTTGGCCTTGACGAGAGTCATGTTCACTGTGTGATGGTGCATAGAGATATCGTCCCACGAGCCTTCTCGTGTAATTATCCTGACCATGTTGCTCTCGTTCTCAAGCGTTTGAATGGGTCCTTCCGTACACATCCTTGTCTCAACAAAAATGTAAGTCCTTAGTATAATTGTTCTTTTGGCTTAACGTTTTGAACATCTTTGTCTATATTAAAATACGGATAGCCTAGTTTAACATCATCTATATATATATTTTTAGTGAAGATTTGGCCTCAAAAATCCTTTTACAATTTAAATATTGTACATTTAGTCCCTACAAATAAAATCTGACAAAATCTTTGTCTTAATGAAATTTACAAAACAATTAATAAACTCATCTAACAATTCCTAATTTTTCGTTTACGAGATATCCAATCCTAACAAATGAAAGTCAAATATTCGTCATTAAAACTCTTAATCACCATAATCTCGGTGATATCTTCGAAATTAAATCAACTAACCAAAAACTAATCCTAATCCAACGCATATATACCATTTTAAACAATTCGTTTAACCATATATGACAAAACATTATCAAATGGAAACTAATAAAACCTCCAAATCATTTTAATATCTAGATTTGCATTTAATTTACATTGCTATTAAACCTAATCCTATCTAACTTACCAAATATCTTTCGCAAGAATATCTCATCAGTTTGATTTACTCTCAAACTACCTTGAATGGTACCCGAGCTTAATGGTCCAGAATCGTTTTTCCAGTTTTAGCAACAACATATATTCCTCTCAATCATTGAATCGTACCTGCATTAATTCTCCGAGATTATCTCACTTTAATATCTCTCTTATATCCATTTCTAACAAGAAATATATTATGATTACAAACTAATAATCACGCATATTCCTTTTATGTTGGGATCCAAAGATTTTATACCTAATTTTATTCTCCTAAATATATTTTTTTGCGTGATCACAACTCTACATGCTTAACCTAAATCATTTTACTATATATACTCTCATTTGCATTTCAACTCTCACCATCCGCAACTAAACATCTCACATCACTATCCATCAAAACAAATATTAGAAAGACCACAATGGCTGCTACTTTTGGTTACCTCAAGGATGTTCGTCCTTACAAGATTGGCTGGAGAGTGCAGGTGAAAGTCCTTCACGCCTGGAAACAGTACACTTCTGATACTGGTGAGACTCTTGAGTTGGTGTTCTCTGATGAACTGGTAAGCAAATACAAAACATATCAATTTTCCTATACACATCATTTTATCTATTTCCTACCATAACTAATACTTCATTTTGCAGGGGAAGAAAATTCATTGCACTGTCAAAAAGGATTTGGTCTCCAGGTATGTCAACAGTCTAACTGTTGGAGATTGGGTCTTAATTGAGACATTTGGTCTTAGTTATGCTGGTGGTCAATTCCGTCCCACAAATCATCTCTACAAGATGACTTTTGTCAACACCACTACTGTATTTGGTTCTGAAACTAAGTCTGAATCAAACTACCTGTCTTTGGCCAAGTTCGAAAAGATTCACAGTGGAGAGCTTAATCCCCACATTTTGGTTGGTAAGTGATCTATTTATTAAATATGTAAATCATATATATTTATTCTTTTACTAAATTATATACTAAACATTTGTATTTGTTTTAACAGATGTCATGGGTCAAATTGTTATGGTATCTGAGTTGGAGAACCTTGAGGCTAATAATAAGCCTACTTGCAAGCTTGACTTTGAAATGAGAGATGAGACGTGATATTTTAACTCTCAACATACTCAGTTTATATCTTTCTATATTTTCAATATACTGATCTTTTGTATTTTTTTTAGGGATGTGAGAATTGCAGTTACTTTGTGGGGGTCATTTGCTCAGACTGTTTACACAGCCTGTCAAGCTGCTGAAGACAAGACTGTCGTGTGCCTGATTCGATTTGCTAAGATAAAGGCATTCAAAGGTACCTAGCAGCTACTCTCAATTATACATACATATGTAGCTACTTTCAGACAGTTTTTTACTAGAGTTCTTATATTACCTAGGTGTTAGGAGCTTATCAAATTCATTTGATGCTACTCAAGTCCATGTCAATCCAGCCTACCCTGAAGCAGCTGCTTTTATCCAATCGTAAGACTTGCCCTAATTATATAGTTCTTATTCTATTTTCTCCATAATTGTTTCATTACCTGCTAACTCTTATGTTAAAAATTAGACTCCCGGATGATGGTATAATCTGTGTATTCCGTGAGAGAGTACCAAGATTTGCTATTGTCAGTGCCAAAAACGAAGATTATGATGAGTTTCCAAGGAACACAATTTCAGAACTCATCACTTCTATGGATGTAAGAAACTTTGCTTTCTCATTCTTTATATCTAGCTTTCTCTAAGTTATATTTTTTATTTTCTTAGGTTGGTAAGGCAAGGCTGATGTGTACCATCTATGCCATTGATACTGATTGGGCATGGTACTACATTAGTTGCAAATCTTGCAATAAGAAGGTCACACATGTCCATGCTGGGGTTAATGGTGTCAACAACAAAGGGAAGAAACCTAGGTTCTGGTGTGACGTGTGCAAGTCTGTGGTCACAAATGTCATTGCTAGGTAATACTTCTTTATTCTTGATTTGTGTTTTCTTAAAATATATAGTTTTCAGTAGCCACCTAATTAACATTCTTATCTGTTATAGGTTTATGATTTATGCTAAGGTCATGGATAATACTGGTGAGGCAAGACTCCTACTGTTTGATTCAATTTGCTCTGAAATCATTGGTGAATCTGCAGCATCTGTGCTTGATGGCTCAGTTGATGAGGTATGTGCTACTATAATACATACAAAGCTTTTTTTTTTGTTAAAACATACCAAGCACTGTACTAACTTATTCAATGCTCTGTAGATTGATGATCCTGAGGATTTGCCTGATCCGGTTAAGAATCTTATTGGGAAGACATTTCTCTTTCTGGTCTGGATTGAGAGAGCAAACATCTTTGATGGAAAAGAAATCTACAAGGTTTCAAAAGTTCTACAGAAGAATGGACTACTTGAGGAACAATTGGTGGAGGAATCTTCTGACATTGTCAATGCTGCCTCAATTGTATCTGGTGATCAGGTAATTCCTCAGGTTGATATATATAATCTTTGTTTATGTTAATCATCCAATTGTTAGTTTTTGACAACTTGAATTTACTTTTCTTTTCTATGGCCAGGTACCTCTAATGCTGGAGTGTAGTCAAGAGACTACTGACTCAATAACTCCATCCTCTAAGCGTGTTTACCCTCTTAATGTTGGAAGCTCTGATGGATCATCAACTTCAAAGAAGTTGTGCATTGCACCAGTGGACTTGGAGAAGTCTAATCCGGAGTTTGTGGGAGAGGTTGCTCTTGAGTTAGCAGATGTTAAGGCAGAAGACAAAGCAAAGGAGAATGTTGATATGAAGAACAAAGGTAAGGTGGTCGAATCTGAGGAGGTTAAGCATGATGATGGTGGAGCTGTGAAGAAGGTTGTGGTTAAGAAGGAGGATATCAAGGTGAAGATTGAAAAGAAGAAGTGATCTCTTTAGATCACTTTATTTTTTCATGTTTTCAAGAGTTTGTTTGTTATTTCTGTTGAGAACTATTGCTTCAGTTTATTTGGTTTTTGCATTTGTTTTACTGTTGGTTCTTTATGTTTTTAAGTTGAATCCTTCATGGGTATTCAATTTATATTGAATAATTAAGTTCCTTTTCCCTAAATTTCATTGCTACTATCGTTGAACTATGTTATAAATACCTAAACATTACTATTCTATACCTTAATGTTCTCAGATTTAAAGTTACTATATTTTATTCATGAAGATTAACCAACTATATAGTTTGAGTAGACTTACTTTATGGTTTGCTTGAGACAGTATATGCCAACTACACCATAACCTATATACATATTATCCTGTAAAAAAAACAAACGCTTAGAGTCATTAAGTATGTTTACTTATATCAATAATGTAATCATATGGTATATTCTTAATCTCCTAAGAATACATACTAAAGTATCCTTTTCTTATAATCGTATTTAAACAATAAATATTCATTTGAATATACTGTTAAGATTTTCACAATCTTTAATCGGAGATAAATATGGAAACTGTAAATATATCAAATCATTGAGAATCTTGCTTTTTCCAAGTTCATTGCTAATGTCAGTCAATAAGTAATCATCACTTATAGATAATATAGAAACTACACGGTTTTTGAGACTCAAAACGTTTCGTATTTCCTCTAACTTCTACTTCTATTCTTCAAACCTGTTAACTATCTTCCATATATATAAAGCAAAGTTTCTCTGTTCTTCTCCACGAAAACTCTCATTCATCAAACATTTTCTCTAAAACAGCAAATTTTCAATCACAAATGGAACCTCTTCACTACCTATCTGATTTGAATGTGAATTCAACAAGATGGTTGGTCCATGTTAAGATCCTAAGCATGTGGAAGGAGCCTCTGGTGAATGGTAGGATTGAGACCAGACTGATATTGGCCGATGAAAAGGTAAAATCTAAACATGACTATGGATTGTCTACTTTCTCTTTTATGATTGGTAGTTTTGTTGGATCTGATAAACTCATCTATGGAATTTATTGTGATTTTAGGGTAATAGGATCGATGCAACTATTCCAAATCGATATTACAATTGGAATTTTCAGGCTGTACTGAAATAAGGTTGTTGGTTTCGCATGAGTGACTTTGAGGTTCTGCGTCCTCAAGAGAAGAAGACAAAATATTGTTGCTTCCCATATCACATCAAGTGCATTGCAGACACTACTATGTGGCCTATTAGTGTTGAATGCCCTTACAGTTTCTTTGATTTTGTTTTCCCAGAGACTGTTGAGTTTGCTATGGAAGAGGAAAAAGAGTTTGTAACTGGTAAGCAATTTTATAACAAATTTTATTCTCTGTTAGATTATATGGATCTTACTGGTACGTGTTTGTTCTGTTTATATCATCATGAAGATGCTATTGGTGTTGTCTCGGCTGTGACAACTATCAGAAGGTTTCCTTATGTCACACGTCTGGGTGGGACAGACTATGAATCAAGATATGTGGCCTTCAAGTTAGTGGACCTAGAGTAAGTTTGACTTCTATTGAGTTTGTATCATGTGTTGTGAGTTATATTAAGTTTGTTCTTTTTACAAAAATATTTTGTTTCAACACACTGTAGGGGTAAGGAGATCAAATGTTGTG